CATATCTCTGGGATTACAGTGCAGCTTCTTGCCACTAGGCCACCAGAGCTCCCAATAGATAACTTCTTGCATAGAATAGAATAATTGAATCTGTTCATCTTGTAGTTTTAGTATTTTCACAAATTCACTTAATTCATCTAGTATTTGTGAATTTTTTATTTATGATACATATAGGATGCCCAGCAAACCACACTGATGAATATGGAAATAGCTGATTATGAACGTCTGATGAAAGAACTAAATCAAAAGTTGACTAATAAAAACACCAAGATTGAAGATTTGGAACAAGAAATAAAAATTCAGAAACAGAAACAAGAAACCCTACAAGAAGAAATGAGTGAGTTAATTTTACCATTATTATTTCATCATAACAGAAGGGAGAGACTAATATGCATTTATTTTCTGTTTCACCAATCTTGACTTTAAACCATGTCTTTGTAAGTTGTTTATATTCTATTTTATTCATAAAATAATTTCTGACATAAAGATTTAAAACTACACATTTCCCTTTAAACTTGTGTTTACCTGCTTCTCACAACTTTGATATATTTTCTTTTACTGCAGTTAATGTAATTTGTTTTAAAATTTCTGTGTTGATTTCTGCTTTAATGCATGGATTATTTCAAAGTATGTTATTTAATTGCTAAGTATTTAGAGGGTTTTCACATGTCTTTCAGGGAATGATTTTTTTTCTTTCATTCCATTGCTGTAAGTGAACACATTGTATGTGATTTCAGCCCTTTCAGACTTATTAAGTCTAAATTTTGGTAGTAGCATATAACTTCTGGTTGATTACCTGGTGTACTCAAAAGAATGTTAAAATGAATTAATTTCAACTAGTATGTTCTAAATTCAGATGTATTGAGTCCATTCACTGTGCTTAAATTTTCTATATCTTAATGATACTCTGTGTTCTGTTTACCAAAAGAAGTATATTGCAATCTCAGCCATAATTGTGAACCTATTTATCAGGCCTAGGTTTTTGGCAGTCTCTTTTTTAAAAAAAAAAATTCATTTTGCACTTTTTCTTTCCTCCCCACTTCTCACCCCCTCTCCCAGCCGACCCCTCAATGCATCCTTTGTTCCAGATGTTTGTCATATATATAATGCCTAATATCTTCTTTTCAGACATTTCTTTCCCTTATATGTTGTACTACAGTGTTCATTATATATCCATTCTTTTCCCATTCTCTCCCTAACCTCTACCCCATCCTATTTTATAACAGCGCGTTTGGGTGTGGTTTTTTTTGGGGGGGGGGGGTTAAATGCCAAGAAATTAGTGTCATCAGCCCTTGAATATACGTGCATGTTCTCATCACAAGAGTTCATACTACCATGGACCCCAACATCACAACCCAACATTTTTCTATAACTCTGCATGTGCATAATGGTTAACATTATCCATCATTTTGTGAACTTGATGTTTTAATTTTTGTTTACTTTTAATTCTGATTAAGTTGTTCTTCCACAACTCAGTGCCAGAAATACTTTGATGAGCAAAACCAAATCTCCTGTGCTCATGGAAATATATTTATAGAGTGATCAGTGAAAAAATAAATAGTTGATAAGTAAAACAGAATAATTGAATCAAGATACGTGATAAAGCCTGAAGAATAAGTTGTTGTTTGATGCCGTCGAGTCGTAGACAACTCATAGCAACCCTATGAACGAACAGCCTGAGCACTGTTCGTACATAGAATTTCCAGAGGCAAGCCATTTCGGAAGTGGATGCCGCTCCTGCTTCCAGGCTTGATTTAGTCGGGAAGCTCCAGCCAACACTGTCCACCATGGGTACCCATTCCCACAATTGGCACATCACTGTCACAGTCTTCAGCATCACAGCAACCACGAGTTCCCTCTGTACAGCAACGCACAGACCGGTACTATACCACCTAGAAGAATGTTTGACAGGAAGACAGTTTGAACCTGACCGAGGGCCACAGATGAAAATCTCCCACTTTCGGCTTGGTAGCATAGCTTCCTTTCCACTAGGCCAACGTAGCTCTCTCTTGGTCGTCATCATTGTTATTGAAGAATAAGTAGGTAAAGAAAATTGGGTAGAGTGTTCCAGGTAATAGTAATAGTACGTTCAGGAACCCTATGAAAAAAGGAGACAATGTAAAAGACAGAAGGGGCTGTGTGGCCCGCAAGTGGATGGTTACATGGTAAGCAATGGAAATCCCCTCATGACCTATTATGTGAGTGGAGAGTGTTGAACAGTTGTATTTGCATTTGATACGATTAATAAACTATGAGATTGATTGTGTTGAGTTAGAAGGAATTAGGTCAGTGTAGTTTGAGAAAGAAGTTAGGCTGAGGTAAAGGAGAATGGTGTAGAAGTTTAAAGATTAAAATTAAACCATAGGAGATGCATAACAGAATGATTGAAGACTTGGTATAATGGTTTGTTGTTATGATGTTGTCAAGTCAGAACCAACATACAGCTGAGCTTCAGCAGGTTCTAAGAGGCAGTACATTTCATGGGAGGAGATTTCCCTTCTTTCTCTCACAGGGTTGCTAGTGGGTTTAAGCTGCATGTCTTTCGAATGGCAGCACGGCTTCTTACTACTAGGTCAACATAGCCAGCAGTGGCTTGTGATGGTGGTGGTAGTGAATTGCTATCAAGTTGACTACAACTCGTAGCAACTTGGTAAAGAACAGATCTGAATCTTGACCTATCCTGTTTTATCTTCATCATCCTTGGCTCCCTAAGGAGCACCCTAGTTGCACTTTTTCCAAAATACATTTTTTGGGCAGTACATTGGATATTCAGTACTCTTCAATGCCATAACTCAAGGACATTGATTCTTCTGTCATCCTTATTCATTATCCAACTTAACTGAAAAGATCATAGCTAGGATGAGGTGCACTTTTGTCTTTAAACTGACTTTTTTTTTTATTTAGCACTTTGGAAAGGTCCTTGACAGCAGATTTTCCCCAATGCAATGTTTCTTGACTGCTGGTACCAAGAGTATTAATTGTGAACCCAGGTAAAATAAATTTGTTGACAAAATTTGATTTTGTCTCCATCTATCGTGATGTTCTGTGGTGGTCCAGTAGTAAGGATTTTCTTGATATTGAGATGTAATCCATATTAAAGGCTGTAGCCTTTGATTTTATGCAGCAGGTGTTTCAGGTCCTCCTCTCTTTCAGTAAACAAGGTTGTATCTTCTGCATAACTCAGTTTGATGATGAGTCTTTCTTTAGTCCTGATGCCACATTCTTCTTCATAAAGTCCATCTTCTCAAATTATTTCCTCAGCATACAAATTGAATAAGTATGGAGAAAGGATACAGGCCTGATAAACACTTTTCTTGATATTAACCATGCAGTATACCCTGGCCCTGTTCGGACAACAGCTTCTTGGTCAAGGTTAAGGCTTTACACAAACAATTAAGTGTTCTGAAATTACCATTCTTAATGTTAGTCATAATTTGTTGTGATCCACACAGTTTGATTGTTTTGCATGATCATTAAAACACAGACATCCTTCTGCTATTCTCTGCTTTCAGCCAAGATCCATCTGACATCAGCAATAATATACCACAAGCCATGGCCTCTGCTAAAGAATGCAGCTTGAATTTCTGGCAGTTCTGTGTCGATGTACTGTTCTAGCCATTTTTCTTACTCTTCAGCAAGATTTTACTTGGATGTGATAATATCAGACATTTACACATTCTCTTGGATCACTTTTTGGGGAATGGGAACAAATAATGAATCTTTGCCAGCCACTTAGCCAAGTGGCTGTCTTCAAGATTTCTTGGCATTCACTAGTGTTTTAGATAGAAGTTAAGGAAGAGAGTGTGTGGAGAGCTCTGATAACCTCGTCCATAGGGAATTTTGTTGAAATTCCAAGAGTTATATTTCTGGTGGTTCTAGTTCACCAACAGTTCCAGTGGAGAAAGATGAACAAACTCCTCTCATGTGATGTACAGCCTTGGAAACCCAACAGAGGGATGATTTGTGGTTTCTTATTTACAAATGTAAATGAAAGGTGAATCTTTCAGTACGGTAGTGTCCATTAGAAGACAATATTGTGGCAAAGGGAGAGCATATATTTAGTTTTTTGTATGTGTTGACTTGGAAATGCTTTTTTATATATTTGGCAAGGTTTGATGATAGTGTGTACAGGATTTTTTAATTCCTTTTCCCCCCAACGTTTGTTCTTTTCCATAGCATTTCTGCTGTCATTACTATCTTAAATGCTTCATGTTTAGCAAACTTCTCTCCTGCAGAGTTTATGTGACCTATATAGTATATGTAGACAGTGTGAAACCCATCTCTCTCACTGCTGCAAAGTTAGTTCCAGTTCATAGCGAGCCTCCATAGGGTTTCTGAGTTATAAATTGAAATGGGAGGAGACTGTCCAATTTTTCTCCCTTAAAGCTGTCTGTGGGCAATTCTAACAACAGGGAAATAAAACATGGACCGGTTAGGTTAGCAGTGCAGCTTGCAATATAGATGGTACTACCAGAGCTCCTTTTAAAAAAATATCTTTGTAAACATTTATATTAGAAACTTGTAGTGTCATGGTGGTTAAAGAACTTAGGTGTTAACCAGAAGGCTGGCAGTTAAAACTCACCAAATGGCTATATAGGAGAAAAGACCTGCTTCCATTAAGTTACAGCCTGTGAAACCGTATAGACAGCTGTTCCGTTCTGACGAGACATTCTGAGTCAGAATGACACATACCAACCAGTATTATCTTTGTTGTAATTAATGTCTCCTAATTGCATACTATATCCTTTGAGTTTAGGGACTTTCATTATGCTATTTGTAACTTTTTAATATTTAGCATAGACTCACTAAATTGTGTTTTATAAAAGTCTTTTTATAACTGAGTTAATAATTAGTAGAAATTAAATAATTTTTATTTATTATAAATAGCATAGTTTAGATTTAATCCTGCAATATGCTTGTACTTATATATCAGATATTACTTTTTTATGTAGATTTTGCTTCATAAAGTTAATCATTCCTTATAAGTTTTTTTGGCACAGTTATCCACTTAACTAGGCCTCGTAGTTGTGCAAACTTTTAGTAAAGGGCCACCTAGAAGTATTTTAGGCTTTTCAGACCAAATAGGGTCTCTTTTGTGTATTGTTTGTTTCCCAAAAGGCTCCAGGCAGGTTAACCTGCTAATTGTAGTTGACAACCCCTGGTCTAGACAATGAGTCCACCTGTCTTTATTTGATGTATGGATTGCAGGCCATAAGGACTCTGTTGCAAGTACTCAATCCTGCCCTTGTACCACTAACACAGTAAGTTGAATTGTAAATTTCTAAGTGTGGCTTGTGTTCCAATAAAGCATTTATTTAAAAAAAAATAAGACTAGATTTTGCATATGGACTGTGGTTTGCCAACTCTTGGTGTAAGTAAAAATATGGTTGGTTATATGTCAGTAATTGGTAGCAATGAGTAATGGATACATGGATGTTAATATACTATTATCATTACACTTATATATGTTTGAAATAGTTCATTAATAAAAACTTAAAACTTTTCTTTTAAATATAAATATCAAGAAAAGACTCATTTATTTGTGTATTTTAGGTTACTCATAAAAATTTTTCATCTTTCTTTTGAAATTATTTATCCCAGCTTCACTACAGTCATCAGTGCAGCAATGTGAAGAAAAAAACACCAAAATCAAGCAATTGCTTGTGAAAACCAAAAAAGAACTGGCAGATTCAAAACAAGCAGTATGTTAATTGCTCAGTTTAAAATTTTAAATTTATTCATAGTATAACTTTTTTTTAAAAATTTTAACCAAGATTCTCTTTCTGTAGGAAACTAATCACCTAATGCTTCAAGAATCTTTGAAGAGTGACTTGGAAAAAAGCCAACAGCAAGTTGAAGTTTATAAAGTAAGAGGTTATACATATACATATTTTAGGAAGATTTCTGGACATTTTCCTTGGAGATGTATTTTTCTAAACACAGGCCTCTCTCATTTTATTGTGCTTTACTTTATTGTGCTTTGCAGATACAGTGATTTTCACAAACTAAAAGTTTAAAATCCTTTAGTCACCCCTTGAACCTGAAACAAAACTTTTATCCATGTACATTCAACTTTCAGCCAAACAATAAGCAGGCTTATAAGGTGACCAGTCACACCAGGGAGACACATCCTCCTTAGAATAGCCAACCATGTGAAGTAAAATGAACAGCAGTTAGATAAAAACCAGAAAGCAGGAAGAGTGGAGAACACAAGGATTAATAGAAATGAGAATTATAGGGAGGAAATGGGAAACGTGTTTGAGAAGTATGTATTGTAATTGATTTATAAAACAAAAAGTGTGAATAGTTGAATAGAAAACCTTCACTCACATCACTATAAAAAAATGAACATGACCCTAACCCTAGATCTGAGCTTTCTGATTGAAATGGTAGTCACAAGAATCAGTTTGTAAATTGTTCTCAAAAGCACATTTACGAACAAGAGATTAGTATAATCTCTTGATATATTTAATTAAGAAACTGTAACATGTGGAGTGTGAATGCAAACTCTGGAATTTTTAATGGAAAATTGATTTTAGGTTAATTATTTACTATATTCCTTACATATGCTTACATTTCAAACCTCAGTTTTGTGTTTTAAGAAGAAGAAAAAAATTTAACCAGTAAAATTGTGATGTACTTGAGCTTAATTTAATGGCTTTTGTCCTAGATTCAGCTGGCAGAAATAACATCTGAGAAACACAAAATCCATGAGCAGCTGAAGACCTCTGCAGAACAGCACCAGCGTACACTGAGTGCTTACCAACAAAAAATCACTGCCTTACAAGAAGAATGCCACACTGCTAAGGTATTGGATGGCACAGTTATCATTGACTATTAGGCAGTTTTGCATCAGAGAGTTGGACAGTGACCAAGGAGGACAGAAGGAGAATTGATGCCTTTGAGCTGTGGTGCTGGAGAAGAGTATTGAGAGTACCATGGACTGCTAGGAAAACAAACA